GTTGAACATAGCGCGGCGCGATTTGTTCGAGGAGTGCCTTGGATGGACGTCAGGAAAGGAATTTCAAGTTGTCGCGTTTCAAGCTGTCAATGCCGAGCCTTTGGACGGCGAAACCATGCATCAAGCATTGGGGCTTGGCACGGCAATGATCACAACGTTGACGCGCAACGGATTCTAAATCTTGCGCAACAAGCCGTGCAATGGCGCTGGCTGCTGATCGACGAAATCAGCATGGTGAGTGCCGAGATGTTAGCACGCCTCGAGGCCCGATGCCGCCAGCTTGTTTTAGATGTCTCCGCGACTAAATACGGTAAGCAGAATCCTAACTGCGTTGCGCCCTTTGGTGGGCTCAATGTCATTCTGTCGGGAGACCTGTGGCAGCTACCTCCGCCGCGTGGAACTTTTCTCGGACAAATCCCCTGGCATCTTGTAACAGGCGTTTCATCTAAGAAGTTGCCATTGAGTTTGCAAGGCCAACAGCTCGTATGGGCCTCCAGCGCGCAGGGTGGCTTACAAGGAGTGACCGAACTGGTTCGCTGCGAGCGAACGCAAGACGTGTGGCTCCAAGACTTGCAAGCAGAACTTCGCGTGGGGCGTTTGTCCGAAGACAACCATGCATTCTTGCATGGTCGACCAACAAAGGTTCCAGGAAGTTGGTGTGCTAGGACTCAGCAGCCTATGTGTCAAGAAAACACATGTTATCAGTTGCACAAAAACGCCTCCACAGCGATAACGATTCTCAAGTACGAATGTCCAATCTGTCGCGCTGAACGGGATACCAAGCGTCTAGTTGCTGCAGACGCAAACGATCCTCGCTTTGTAGAAGGTTTCAGCATGGCGCGGGGGATTTTCCACGCGAACGGGGTGAAGTGCCATGGCACGTGAATAAACTTCGTGCAGAACAATGGGCGCGGCAGCAGGGGCAAGTCATCTATTATGCAGTGGCTACGGACAAGGTATCATCGCGAGCTTTGCGCGAGAAGCCTGACATCGCCCAAGACAAGCTGACATGGCTGCAACGCAGCGATGCTGATTGCGGGAATCGGTACGGTATTCTTCCGCTGTGCATGAATATGCCTGTACAAGCGCGGGAACACCTCCACCGAAAGGATTTCAAGATCTTGAAAGGATGTCATGGAACCATTTGCGGGTGGTCAAGCATTGAGACAGAAACAGCAGCGGCAGATGGAGCAGTAATATGGAACAAACTCCCCGATTATATCTTCGTGCGTTTTGAGACGCGAACACGTTGGACAATTCCAGGCATCGATCAAGAGAACGTCTTCCCGGTCAGCATACAAAGTGCACAGTGGTTTCTAGACGCAGGCCGCACCAACCCACAATTGAAAGTCACCCGGTACCAATTTCCCATCGCGCCCGACTTCGCTGACACGTTCTACGGCGCGCAAGGAAGCACAATAGAGCCGGGCGTAATCGTTGACATGGTGGGTGCTGACCCCATAGCGGCGTACATTGGGATGACGCGGAGCCGCACACGGCAGAAGATCTTGATCTACCGACCGTTCCCGCTGGCGCCTTTTCAAGAAGGCCTTCCACTGGGACGGCAACTTCTGCTTGATGTGTGGAAGCAGGAGCCAGTGGACTGGGATGCGTTGCGCAAGAAGTACTTGGACGAAAGGCTCTGTCAAGAGTGTGGGGAGATGAAACGCAAAGACGCCTTCACCAAAGCGCAGTGGAAACAGGAGACCTATCGGGTCTGCAAAGAATGCACCGCGCAGAAGCGCGAGGCAGGCACACCATATCGGTGCACGCAGTGCGGCCTATGGCACGCTGCTTGTCACTTTGCAAGCAAGCATCGAAATCCACGGTGGAGCATGTATCGCGTTTGTCTATCATGCGATGCAAAAAAGCAATGTTTTTTATGCCAAACAAAGCAGACGAAAGAATATTTCAGCCATGTGGCTTGGCAAACCCCGAATCCGAAACGTCGATTGTGTTTGCAATGCCAGACGAAGACCCGCGGCTCTTGGAAATGCGCGGTCTGCCACCAGCGGCGGTCACGGCACCAATTTTCCTACTTTATTTCTAGACGGCCTTCTGGCAACGATGGAACGCAGACATGCGACACATGCTACGCTGAGAAAGTGCAGCATGCAGTCCGCAAGCGCGCTGCTGCTGCCAGTATAGCTCGCCTAGAGCCTCTCCGGAAAAGAATTCACCGCAGGCACATTATCCAGGAGACATGGGAAGCAATCGCTGCAAACAAGAAAGCACGCACACATGATCATTCGAGCCAGACCATGACGAGCGAAAAAGAAGGTACAAATGAGGATGCAATCCCAAAAGACATAGAGCAAACTCCAGCACCAGAAAAGATTTATGTGTACGCATGCCCTTTTTGCCAAAAATCTATTACTACTTCAATTGCTTCCGGAAATGTCGACCACCGACGCGTGTGTGGCAAACAATTTCGCGTGCAGGATGGAGTTCTTCGGCCGACGCTGCCGACAACCCACTTTTCGCACACATGCCCTACTTGTGGAACCTGCGTCCAGAGCACCAAAGAATTTGGGCGCATCAAAAGCAAACACAAGCAATCCAATGGCCGCGTGTGTCGCCGAACGGAATGGCATGCAAAGTAACGACAAACGACCAGTTCCAGCTTTCTTGTCTGCCTCACCTCTCAGCATGCAAACTTGAAAGCAGGCTCGAAAAAAATCACCTGCCAGAGGAAAAACAACATGCCCTTGAAGGACGACATAATTCCCAAACCGCGCCACAAAGTCCCTAACGTCTCTTTTTGACAAATTTTATTGCTTGCTGCCGCTGCTGCTGCCGCTGCTGCTGCCGCTGCTGCTGCCGCTGCAGCTGCCGCTGCCGCTGCCGCTGCTGCTAAAACCGCGCCCAAAAACTCTCTCACGTCAGCCGATGAGAAACACCATGCCGCTAAACCGCGGGCTGCTGCTGCTGCCGCTTCTCCTGCCGCGGGCAAGTACCAAAACTGCCTGACGTGTCGTCTGAGTATTCTTATTGTTGCTGTTGTGCTGCTCGAAAAAACAGTTCCTCGCGCGAAGCTCAAATCGAAAAAAAGCAGCTGCCGGCAGGAAAAAAGACTATGCCCCTCAAGGACGAGCTGTAGCAGCAGCTGCAGCAGGGTAAAAACTGCCTAACCTATCGTCTGAACTCCTAGAAAAACAGGGAGAAGGATCAAAAAAAATATTTTTAGGCAGCAAAAACAAACATTTTTAGCAGAGATCAAAAAAACATTAATTTGGGATCAAAAAAACATTTTTCGGAGACCATCTGTGAGAAGGGTAGGGGTTGCGCTCATCCGCTGCTAGCAGTAAAACAGCTTCGAAAAAATCAGCTGCCAGAGAGAAAACACCATGCCCCTGAAGGACGACCTAGTCCCAAAACCGCGCCAAAAAACTGCCTAACGTGTCGTCTGAAATCCTAGAAAAACAACATTTTTCGACAGATTCTGTTGCCTGCGGCTGTTGCTAGTCCTCCTGCTGCTGCTGCTGCTGCTGCTGCTGCTGCGGCTGCTGCTGCTGCTGCTGCTGCGGCTGCGGCTGCGGCTGCGGCTACGCCAGAAGCCTCTGCTGCTGCAACTGCTGCTGCTGCTGCTGCGGGTCCTGTATTTGCTGCTGTTGCCGGGGGAAACACCACGCTCCTGAAGGACGACCTAGTTCCAGAACCGCCCGCTGCTGCTAAAACCGCGCCCAAAAACTCTTTCACGTCAGCCGATGAGAAACACCATGCCGCTAAACCGCGTGCTGCTGCTGCTGCCGCTTCTCTTGCCGCGGGCAAGAAACTGCCTGACGTGTCGTCTGAATATTTTTATTGTTGTTATTGTGCTGCTCGAAAAAACAGTTCCTCGCGCGAAGCTCACCTCGAAAAAAAGCAGCTGCCGGCAGGAAAAACACCATGCCCCTGAAGGACGAACTGTAGCAGCAGCTGCAGCAGGGTAAAAACTGCCTAACCTATCGTCTGAACTCCTAGAAAAACAGGGGGCAGGATCAAAAAAAACATTTTTAGGCATCAAAAAAAACATTTTTAGCAGAGATCAAAAAAACATTAATTAGGGATCAAAAAAACATTTTTTGGAGACCATTTGTGAGAAGGGTAGGGGTTGTGCTCATCCGCTGCTAGCAGTAAAACAGCTTCGAAAAAATCAGCTGCCGGAGGGAAAACACCATGCCCCTGAAGGACGACCTAGTTCCAAAACCGCGCCAAAAAACTGCCTAACGTGTCGTCTGAAATCCTAGAAAAACAACATTTTTCGACAGATTCTGTTGCCTGCGGCTGTTGCTAGTCCTCATGCTGCTGCTGCTGCTGCTGCTGCTCCTGCTGCTGCTGCTGCTGCTCCTGCTGCTATGCCGCGCCAAAAGCCTCTGCTGCTGCAACTGCTGCTGCTGCTGCTGCGGGTCCTGTATTTGCTGCTGTTGCCCGGGGGGAAACACCATGCCCCTGAAGGACGACCTAGTTCCAGAACCGCGCCAAAAGACTGCCCAACGTGTCGTCTGAAATCCTAGAAAAACAACCTTTTTCGATAGCTTCTGTTGCCTGCGGCTACTGCAGTAAAACAGCTTCGAAAAAATCACCTGCCGGGGGGAAAACGCCGTGCCTCTGAAGGACGAGCTAGTTCCAAAACCACGCCAAAAAACTGCCTAACGTCTCTTCTGAAATCCTAGAAAAACAACTAGTTCCAAAACCACGCCAAAAAACTGCCTAACGTGGCAAAAAACTGCCTAACGTCTCTTCTGAAATCCTAGAAAAACAACCTTTTTCGACAGCTTCTGTTGCCTGCGGCTGCTGCAGTCAAACAGCTTCGAAATTTTCACCTGCCGGGGGGAAAACACCGTGCCTCTGAAGGACGAGCTAGTTCCAAAACCACGCCAAAAAAAAGCCAAACGTCTCTTCTGAAATCCGAGAAAAACAACCTTTTTCGACAGCTTCTGTTGCGTGCGGCTGCTGCAGTAAAACACTATTTGGATGTGATTGCCCACTTTGCAAAGCTCTACACCGGAGGGGAGCAAATGCCACTGGCAAGCTTCCTAGTGGCCTTTGCAAAGCAGTTTGGAGAAAGTGCATTGCTGGGGGAAGAATTCATGGCAGTGATTACTCACTTTGATTTCAAAATCCATGGCAGCTTGCTACCTTGCTTTCGGGTAGCTATGCTGGCAGCCCAGTTGACTTCCAGCAAGGTTGTTGACAAGATCAGCAAGCTGCTTGTGAAAGGAGATTTTGACCGCCTGAGGAACAAGTGTGGCAAGGAGTTAGCCGAGGCTGAAGCTCTATTGGCCAATGGCTGGCAAATGGTTGAACAAGCTACCCACCTGGATGACTACAAGAAGCAAGGTGTGTTTGGCAGGTACTGCATCCGCATTGTCTTGTTCCTGTGCCAAAAGCAGAAATTCAGTCGAGAAAACAAGATTTGGGAAAGCTTGCAAGAAATCACAGATCAGTTTGGAGCTGAAATGTTGTCTCCTCCAGACCACACTGCTCCCAGTAGCTCTCATGGCTTGCCAGCTGGCAAGGCTGGAAAGTTTGAAGATTTGCTGACAGCAGATGAAGCTTCTGTTGCAATGCTGCAGCACCAGCACTTGGAGCCTGGGGCCAACTACCAGAACCCAAAGCATGACCAAGCCATCTACAAGCTGTTGGAAATGACCAAAGAAGGTGCTAAGTTCCTTGACCCAGGATATTGATTGTGATTATGTTTATTTGTTAAAATTGCTGAACTTGTGTGGCTCCTCTGTATGTCTAAAAGTTTAAAGCAGCCCCTGCATTTGTTTTTATCTGAGGTTTGAGCATGTGCCCTTGGTGGGTGCTGCTGTGCATTTGCTAGTGCCCTTGGGTGAAGACTTGAAGGAATGGAGGAAAACAAAGAAGCATATGCCTGTGCTGCTCAGCACTGACATAGCAGAGAAGCACCTGCTGTACAAGCACCCTGGCATTCAGGAGGCCATTAGCATGCACCAAGCTCAATTGCAATTGCGCAAGGCCTTCAGCACGAACCCTGTGAACCACAAGGCTGTTGGCTTTGTTGCTCACCCCACTGGTGTCTGCTCCTTGCAGCATTTTGCTCCTGGAGCTTTGGTTCTGAAGGCCTATGGAAGCTTGTTCCCTTTGAAAGATCAAGAAAAGGACAAAGTGAAAATCTTGGTTGGCAATTTTGGCATCAGCCCGCCCAAGATGATTTCTGAATTCGACAAGATGGATTCCAAGAGTGTGCTTGTACCATTTTGGTATGTGAAAAGCACTTTGGAAGAAGAGCTAGTTAACATGCAGTTGGAGACGAAGCAGCTGCATGGCTTGGCAGTTCCTTGCTATGTGAACACCGTGTCCTTGGAACCTGGTGCTTTGCTACTGTGTGAACATGAAAATTTGACCAAGAAGAAGCAGAAGAGGGAAGAGATCAGTGCTGCTGCAAAGGCAGAAGCTGGACTTGTTGCCAAGAAGAGAAAGGCCTAGTTTCACAGAATGACCTAAAGATTGCTCAGGTGGAAAACTGGTTTGCTTGCAGCAACTTGCTGTTGTGTACTTATGAGCCATTTTTGGCTGATTGTTGCTTACAATGAGACTTGTTTGTTAGTTGCTTGCTGTAAAGGACTTGTGAAAGTGTAAACTCATGTGCAAAGCTTGGCTCAAAGGTTTGCCAGTTGTCCTCAAAAGCCCAGTCTTTTCCTCAAAGGATTTGGCAGCAGCAATGGACCTGGAAGTGAAATCATTGCTGGGTGTGAGTTGGAAAGGCCAGTTGGTGCCAATTCCAGAAGATTTGCTCATTACCAATGATGATGGTGATACCTTCTTGAAGCTGAGGCCTTCACACCATGCCATCACCACGATGATTTGCCCTGATTGCAAGAAGAAAAATTTATCTCTTTCAGGAGGCACCAAGATGGCTTCTTTGATTGATTTGCTGCATGAAGAGATCAAAAGAAAAAAGCAGGAGCAGGATTCTGAGACTGCTGGTGAACTCTTTGGAGAAGAAAGGGAAAAGCCAAGGAAGAAAAAGGCTAAGAAGACTGAAAGCACAGACCACCCTGCATTTGTCAGTGTCACCTTGCCTGATGATGGTGGCTCCGTGGTCTTGCAATGGCCAGCAAACAAGCATGCTGATGTAGCTGTGATGCTTGAAGCAGGCAATTTGCAGAAGTGTTTTGAATACCTGCACAGTGATTGTAGCCAATGTGAGGAAGGCACCAAGAGAACTTACAACAAGAGTGGAAGATTTGTCAAAGGCAAATCGGGTCAGGCAGACTGAGAAGCCAAGCTGGTGAAAGGAAAAAAATGTTTTTTGGCCTTGTAAACTACATGTCCATGGAGCCTATAAGGCTGTGTTGTTGCTTGCTTGGAGCCATAAGGCTATAACATGATAATAAGAAATGTGTACATATAATCAAATCTAGGAAATTGTCATGGTAGGCATGCTTGGAAATAGGGAGCCCATGTGGCTGCTTGTATTGTTGCATGTATCTTGGAGCCCCAGAGGCTGTAAGAACACAGGTTCTTGCCCAAGTTTGTTTGGAGTTTGTGCACACTGAGGACAGTGACAGACCTCTTGACCGGCACCTGGCTGATGACAGAGTTCAAGGTCAATGGGCAGCATGTGTTGAAGAAGAAGGAGCTAGACCTTTTCCTGTGGTACACTACTCATGGGCCTACCTGGTACATTGCCAACAGCTATGTGCCAGATGGTGGGACCTGGCAGAACCTGCAGTGCTATGCCAGGATTGCAGACAAGAATGGGTCACCATGTGGGGAAATTTTCATTCCCTTCCAGAACACCACCAAGGCAAACTGGGTGTTGACCTCTGCTGCCCTCTT